TACCTCGACTCTTTTCAAGAAAATTTCCCAAGTATCCTGATATAATTCCACTCGTTGAGTTCTCCTTCAGCGATGAAGACTCCAGACTGATTTTCGCCTCACCCACTCCGTTCGACCACCACTCGGCAGGTCACAACACTTTTCTATCGGCTTCTTCCACGCACTGCTCGAATTTGGAAGTCAATGCGACGATTTCAAGTCTAAAAATCTTTCTAATTTCCATAAATATGTTAACTGCTATCGACTACAACTTTGGTTGTCATGCTGTTCATTGCTGACCGTATGACATGTTGGTCTTCTGGATCTGTGCTCAGAAACCATAACGAATGAAAACAAGCAGGCGTTTTTTGTCTAGGCCACACATATTCCTTTGAGTAAAACTGGCCACTGACAAAACATCACCTCGTGGAGATGCCGGGGATTGAAACGGAGGCCTCACACATGCGAAGCGTGCACTCTACCACTGAGCTACATCCCCATTCTAGTTCTACCTGGGTGCAGTTCCACCTCGGTACGGGGTGAAACTTCGTCATCAGCTTCTTCCTCTCCCTTGTCACCCCACTCACTCTGCTGTTGGCCCTGTACACATCGTGTTTGCACAGAGTCCAAGCAAAATGTATTTATTTGAAACAAAAAGAAATAACAAGAATAAATGTGGATGGATACTATATTGCTTTCCCAATTTATTTATTCTTGGATTTTTTTTATTCGGAAATAAAAGTGTATTGGATGCTTCTAAGCACTTGTTTTCATCTTCAAATGTTTAAGTAAACAATTTGATCACTGTGTGCATCGGTAATTATACAAACAGCAAGTTCTGGAAATCAAGACAAATTCATCCGAAGGTATCGTTCATATCGGGTAATATTTACGAGAGTTCACGTGCATCCCGATTACAGAGACATGGACACAGCCAATTAATTTTGGAAATCAACCTTTGTTGGAAACAAATTAACTAAAAGGTTCCAACATGGAGATACCGGGGATTGAACCCGGGCCCTCACACATGCAAAGCGTGCGCTCTCCCACTGAGCTACAATCCCACCACGCTGGCAGCCAGGCAGGTAGCCAACCCCCTTAACTATCGGCCCCTCCCCTTACCCCCCCTCCCTTAGGCCCCTCCCCCACCCCCATTCCCTTAGGCCCCTCCTTCCTCCCTTAGGCCCCTCCGCCCTCCCTTAGGCCCCTCCCTTGACCATCCCCCCCATATCCTTAGGCCCCTCCCCTGACCCCACCTCACTTAGGACCCTCCTCTGACCCTCCCCCCACTTAGAGGCCCCTCTCCTGACTCCCCCCTTCCTTAGGCCCCTCCCCTGACCCTCCTTCCTTAGGCCCCTCCCCTCTCCGTACCCAGCAGTAGGTCTCCACCAATCAAAGAGCTGTGTATATTATATATTTATTTATGCACGACAGACAGACAGACAAAAAATCCCTGGTGGGCAGTGTGGAACATTGTTCCTACCTGTATAATTAGTATTTATTTAATTTAAGTGATTGGCACACCTTTCCTATATTTCACACCCCAATCAGTTGTTTGGACTGTTAGTTATTGTAACTTTAAGACCCGTCCCTACTGGACATCTTTGTAAAAGAGCGTCATGACTCATTGGATTCCTCCAGTTAAAATAAAGATGCTGATTCAGATTCTATGTATGTTGAACTTATTTCGCACCGTGCATAGCCAACCGTGCTAATCAGAGGTGCTGTATGAGAACAACCTAAATACAGCAATCAGTTCTAAAGAAATTTGTTTTCAATGTATGTCAGATTCAGACACCGCAATTTCTGCCCTTCCAAAATGCTTGTCTGAAGCACAACTGGTTGCAGCTAAACCTGGGCAAGACAGAGTCCATGATAGTTGGCTCAGAGCAGCATCTGCGAGCGTGGCAGGGCCACATCGATCTTCCACTGATTAGCAGAGCTCGCTCTCTCCTTGTGTCCAAAGTACGCCACCTCGGAGTGCTGTTCAATCAGAGCTTGACCGTGCGCTCGCTGCTCATAGCTACGTTCAGAGTATATCTCTACCCCTACACATACTCCGAGGGTTAGGCTCGATCTTTTCTACCCCAGACATGTAATCATTAGTTCATGCGTTTGTCTCAACACGCCTGGATTATCTATGCAGAGCTTCCACTTGGATTGGTGCAAAGGCTCCAGTTAGTGCAGAATGCAGCTGCCCGGATGATCCGTCGGGTTAGCCGCTTTGAACACATTACGCCTTGCGCAGCTTGCAGCGGCTACCAGTCCACTTTCACGACGACAAACCCAGGAACCGTGGGGGGGGGGGGGTGCAGGAGGAGTGGGCTGTCGGGAGTTGTTTGTGGGAATCGTCGTTACGTCGCGTTGGACACCGCGACGGGTGGCCCTGGGTAGACGAGATTGCCCCCCAACACGTGGACACGACTGTAAGTTGGAGGTACAGACGCTGTCTCCACCCTTGCAGTATTGGGAGTTTGTTCAGGGCGATGTGTGTTTTCCGGTTCCGTCTGTAACACGGTGGTCGTTGTTTGTTTTATTCCACTAATTTATCTTAAATCTCCGCTTCGTTATTGTTCCCTGTGCTCACGTTGTCGTTTTTGTTATTTTGGAGATTCCCCCAGCCCTAGGTCACTCTTGCCAATGAGACTCCTGTCCCGGTCTCTCGAGTTCTACACCCGGTTACAGACTATACACTTGAACTCACTTGCTCAATCATTTACCCACTCACCTACCCTCTAGCTAATTAACTTCACCACTGACTCCACTCAGCCACTCACTCACCCACCATCTCACTCACGCAAACACACAATCCTTCACTCACTAATCTATTCACTCATGCACTCAATAATTTACCCACTCACCCTCTCACTAACTAAAACATTCCACCAATCCACTCACCCATGCACTCACTCACCCACCAACCATCTCCCCCGCATACTCACCCACTCAGCCACCATCTCATCCAATCAACCATGCACTCACTTAATTATTCAATCACCATCTCTGTCACGTATCTACTTACTCATCTTCTCACTCACCTAAGCACCCACTCCTCATTCCAATCACTATTATAAATGAGACTCCTATCCTGGTGTTTTGAGTTCTCGCCCTGGTTAAACACAATAAACAAAAATAACAGCCAGAACTACAAAGACGTTGCAAAGACGTTACCATGATGATGGTTGTAGTGTTAATAATGGTGAAATGGTGATGATGGTAGTGGTATAGATCAGTGACGTGTGGTGAGGTCAATGGCTGGGGAGGCACTGGCTAGTGTCAAAGACAGATTTGCACACTGAGGAGGGCGTGACCTTACGGAGGGGGCGTGGCCTCACTGAGGGGGCGTGTCCTCACTGAGGGGGGCGTGTTAGACACGTCCCCGTCAGTGAGGCAGATGTGATAGCTGCCTCCCCTGGTGCTTTTTCATTGCAGTTTCATTACGAGACCAGCGAGCCTAAATATATTTTTACACATACGTAAAATAAGTTACCAGGAGTATGAAATGCGAGAACATGAAATGAAGTCGTCAACAAACATTACATTGGTGACATACTGAGATAACAACAGGCACACGCTTATTGCCCAAGCTCCATCCAGTTACTGAGGGGTTGCGCAATCAGAGGGAGGCTGAACTCGTCGCTGCCTCACCTCTCGTCTCTTCCTGTACTTACAGCGGAGCTCCGCAAATTTGGCAATTTTGACTATAAAAATTCTTGGAATCGTACATAAATGACATTTATAACAGATCAGTGGAAAAATCTTAACATTTATTTTATTATTATTATCTTTTTAACTTTTCGTTACAGCTATTTTCATTGGAGTATGAAAGTTGAGGCTCTGCCTCCCCTGCCTCCCCTGACCGCACGTCCCTGGTATAGATCATGCTAGTAATGATGGTAGTGATGATGATGGTGGTGATGGTTGTGATCATTATAGTAAGAATGGTGATAATCGTGGTAGTGATGTGGGTGGTGATGATGCTGACTGTGATGATAATGATTGTGGTGAGGGTGATGGTGGAAATTAAACTGATGATGATTTTCACGGTGAGGATGATAGGGATGATGATGGTGGTGATGATGGTTGTGATAGTAGTTATGATTATGGCAGTTTTTGTGGTGTTGATGATCGTAATGATCGTGATGATTGTGATGATTGTGATGGTGGTGGTAAGAATGGGAATGATAATAATGATGGTGGTGATAAAGGTGGTGGCGTTAGTCGTGGTATTGATGATGATAAGCTTGATAGTGGTGGTGGTGATGATGCTGATAGTAGTTTTTGACGGTGGTGATGATGTTGATGGTGGTGATGATGGTTATGGTGATGATGATTTTGGTGATGATGATGATAGTAGTGATGATGGGGATAATTATATTATTGGTTCTTTCGTTAAAGTCACGTAGAAGGGAAATAATAAAATAATAAAAATTAAACATAATAAAATTAAATGTTGTTGATGATGATGTTGCTGATGATGGTGGTGATGGTGGTGATCGTGGTGATGATAGTGAAGGTATTGTTGGTGATGGTGATTATGATGGTTTTGGTGATATTGATAGTAATGATGATGGTGATGATGGGGTGATGATGATGGTGATGATGGTGAATCGCAGGGATGAGGAGGCGTGGTGAACCATACGCGCACTGCAGAAGAAGGAGCGTCCACATGAACCTGCGATTTGTACTGCACCGGCGACGTCGCTCACACACGCCAACCTGAACCTCACCCTCCCACCTCACCCTACCCCTCCATGCTCTCCTAACCCTTCCCTCAATTTTTACCTCACCCTCCCATCACCTCATCCTCTCCCTACCCTCTCCTTCGCATCCTCTCATCTCCTCACCCTCTCCTCACCTTTCACCCTCACCATCACCCTCCACGTTCACCCGTCACCTTCCCCTCCATTCTCGCCTCAACCTCATGCCTACCTCACCCGCCGTTCCACCTTCCCCTCACCTCACCCTCTCCTCACCATCCCCCCTCTCCTCTGTTTCTTGAGTTTCTGTCTCGTGCATCCTCAGAATGCACGACTCAGATCCACGATCTCCAATCGACCATTACCACGCCAAATACACATTCCAGGGTAGAGAGGCTGCAAGAATCTCTGCCGAAACTCGTGGATCACCTCCATGGAGTCGGCGCGGTAAAACACCAGGAGCCCCCCCTCCCAGTGCAGGTAAATCCCGATGCTGCGGGGGGAGGGGCTCCCCCTCACCAACAGTGCATTCTTCACTCTATCATGGAACACTGAGAAGCTGTAGTTACATTTCTCTAAACACCAGGACGCGTCGTTCCCTCCCAGCCAATATGCAGCACTACTACTCCCTCTCCGTGGGATCGTCCCGTACGCGACTCCAACCCGCCACCGCCGCGCGTCCCCCACGTCCACCTCCCAGTAGTGGTGGCCCGACGAGAAGCTCTCACAGCACAGGGCTTGTGCACAGCTATCAAACCGTTGTGGGTGATCAGGGCGACCCTGGGAGGAACAGGTCAGCATCATTGTCCTGAGATTTGAGGAAATCTGGAGGTAGTCATGAGCCGAGTTTGTGTCCAGAGTCGGTGAGCGTCCGTCTGTGACAACAGCGATGACAACGTCACTGCAGAACACCGTCATCACCATCATCCACATTCATCAACATCACCAATCATCATGTTCACCATCAACAATAACATTACAAACATCACCATCAGCAACCATCTTCGACCATTTCCACTGATGGTAGCCATGACGGCTAATCAAACCCAGGTAACTGGGTTCGCAGTGCAGTGTGCTAACCAATAAACCACCACTCCCCCCACGCACAAATGCACAGACATTCACAGACACACACTCCATCTCAACATCACAATTACCCCTGACTCGTAATGATGATTATGTACCCAAGAACACAACACTTAATCTCATGGCTGTGTTCAGTAGGGTCCTGGAATGGGATGTGAACAAAGACAAAGATCCCCTGTTTAGCCTCAACAGACCATTGGGGCAAGTGCTGTTAGCGAGTGTCTATGAAGACCAGCACGGCACACGAGGAGGTAGATGGCCAGCACTATGCCCGACCACCTTTGTCTCCCTAGTGGCGATTTTGTTCAAACACCGCATCAAGTTCCATGATGTAAACAAAGATAAATATTCCCCGTGTTGCCTTAACAGATTGTCGGGGCAAATCAGCACCTTTGAAAGCTGGCACAGCACATGAGGGGCTTGGTGGCCAGCACGACGCCTGGCCACTTTTGTATCCCTAGTGGTGATGTTTACACACAACACCAGGTAATCATTTGAAGCTGAGTCGACCTCGTGCACACACACACGGTGATATTTTTTTGTTAATATGGCCCCATCACCCATGTTTCACACTGAATAACTCACACAGGAATTTGGCCACAGTTCCCTCGGTGCCTTTAAGCGAGGCAATGTCCTCTTGGCTAGGAGCTGTGCGTGGAGCTGCTGTAACCCTCCCTGCCCTGTGAAAGCAGAACAGACATGGATACTGTCTCACGCAGAGCATCGTCACTCACAGGATCATCACAGATCCATCATATCGAGACTCATCACACAAGCATCATCACAGACAGCACCATCAGACAGCATCACCACACACAGCATCATCACACAACATCACACAGCATCACCACACAGCATCATCATACAGCATCACCACACAGAGCATCATCACGAACACCATCCCCACACACAGCCAATGTCTCACTGCCCGCACCCCACACTCAGTCCCATGTTGTCGTGTGTCGAGTCGTGAGTGATAGTCGTCTTTTACCTGCACGTCTCCTCCAAGTGCCCCTATGGGAGAGAGAGAGAGATGCGTTACTGTGACTCTACCTCCATTCCCCTGTGATCAGTGGAGTTCCCACTGCACCACCGTGGGTGGAATATAAACCCCAAAGTCTTGGCTTATGACCCTATGATCAACAACACTGACTTACGGGGCAAATATTTCAGAGTGAGACTGGTTGATAGTTAACGATAAACTACAATTTATTTTACAGATAAGGCCTACGGAGCTATATAGCTCTTTTTCAGAAGCGACCTGGCCACAAATGATAGCTCAACGAAGTGGTTCATCTCGTGGAAATTTATAGCAGCCCAATACTCTAAACGCATGCTTCCAAATGTGGAGGGGGAAACTGCAGGACCCGGAGAAAATCCATGTGACCATGGAGGGAGACATGGAAATTCCAAATGTATACGGAATTTAGGTTTGGGATCAAATCCATGACCTCCGGTATACCAGGCGAGGTAGTTAACATCTCGCCGCCCGAATGAGGACCAACACTGATTTGTAGGGCAAATATTTCAGAGTGAGACCGGTTGATATTGATCTGTGTTGAGAATAACTTAGGACTGGTAATTTCTGGTGTTACCAATGCACATGGTGCAGGTCTTGTAGTAATGATGTTCAAGACACAATGATATAATTAATTAGTGTATTTGACCTATTTATTTTAGCATCTCTGATATTATCAATGAAGGTAGCGTATCCAAGTGGAGGTACACATAGTAGGGAGCAGAGATGACATCGGCTCGTGAGCAGGCACCGGTGGATTGCATCGCGGCATCATGAGATGTGGCAATGGCTTGCGGAGGCCTTCCTCAATAAGTGGATAGATTATGACTCATGACAATCATAACTACTGTGTACATTGTTGTTGTATGTTTGATTTAAAAGTGAAATTACATTAACATTTAGTTTATATTCACAATGAAACAAACTTAACGGGAATCTGTTAAAGGACGGGAGAGAGAATTCATTTAACTGAAAAAATATAAGCTGGGCTTCCACATGGCAGCTACTGGAGCTGCGATGCGAGTCTATGAGTGGAGCTGTGCTCTCAAGCCCAGTGGATGCGAACTCTCATTCAGCAGCCTCCGTCTGCTGCTGCTGGTGAGAGGGCTCTGTGCCAATAGCGACACTGGAGACTCATCGCTCACCTGCAGGAACGCGAGCGAGTCCCTCTCCTGCGCTAGGGCCTGCAGGCGAGTGGCTGCTGCCTGGAGCTCACTGATCTCCCGCTGGTAGCGAGCGATCTTCTTCTCGATCTGGGATAGCAGCTCGCGCCCTTTCTGCTCCAGTTGCTCTAATGCCGCCTTCTCCTCCGCATCCAACGCTGCTCTCGCGTGGGCAAATCTGACAGAGATTGAGGCCTTTTTATCTGTCATGGATCCCTGCAAAAAAAATAAATCACACCTCTATTTATTAATTGTCTGGTCCTTTGTGAAATGACATTCAGGTCGGTGTCACCCAAGTGCAACTCTGAAGGTGTCCAGACAGTGATACGAGTCTGCAGCACTGAGGCCTCCTTCTTCCTCTAATAGCGCTGCTGTGCATTGTCAATACAACACGATTCGGGGGCTATGAGGCACTGAAATCACCAAATACCATCAGGAGGACATTTAGGGTCTGTGCCATTCTCATTGCGCAAGGCTATCAGGACGATGCTTTGTTTGCCTTCATATGAAGCGAAGATAAATCTGGAATTTGCCTACAAGTAGAGCCCTAAGGAATTTTGAAGTTAGGCCAATTCCTCTACAAATGAATATTTTTAATGTGAGAGAAAACCACATATGTGTAATGCGAGCGTTAATGAGGTTGCTGCTGGACTCTAGCCCAATCACACGACCCGGGGTATTGGAGGTGGAACCAGCAGGGCAGTATGATAAGAGCGGATCTGACGATCCGGAAGGGAGGAGTCAGGGTCACGTGAGAGAGGGGTTATAGAGGGGAGACCGGAAGAGATCGAGGCCAGTCGATGGAGTGAAGAGGCGGGACCACGTTTGGGTGGCCGCCGCGCCATCAGCCACGTGGCTGATGGGGGCTTGGCACACCGTCGGCCAGGGTGTGCGGAGCGAGAGAAGAGTGTGCGGGGCACACGGGGCTAGCGGGGTGGCTAGCGGAGTGTGCGAGGCACACAGGGTCAGCGGAGTGGCCAGCAGAGTGTGCGGGGCACACGGGGCTAGCGGGGTGGCTAGCAGAGTGTGCGGGGCACGCGAGAGGAGAGTGCGTGGCATGGGAGAGGAGACGCGACGCTGGTCCCTTGTCAGGACCAGCGGGGTGGAAGGACGAGTGGAGGAGCTGAGGAGGAAGCGAGTGCGCAGGGCGGGTGAGAGACGACGCTGGTCCGAGGAGGAGGCCAGTGGGGTGCGGAAGAGAAGAACCCAAATAAAGGACGAACGGAGACTTACATCGCCTGACAGAGTCCTTTATTACATATGTATGGATGAAGAGATGGGATCATGAAACCACTTGCTATACTGGCACCTGGCCACTCACCTGATTTGTTTCAGTAAGATGGTGTACAACAATCTATGTATGATTCACCAACTCTGCCACCAGAGTATTGGATAAGAGGTACGTACCACATCATCTGATCAATATAGTTAACAGTCGTTGAAGTGTTAAGTTGTATGGAGATAAGGGAATGTGGAATTTCCACCACTGATTGAGTTTCTCAGTGGAGATGAGAACCTCATTTTTACACGTCCAGATTATTGAGGCGCATTAACCGTTGTGTTTAATCCCACAATGTGTTTAGAGCCAATGGAAGTCCACGTGAATGAATGGAGTTGTCCTCCATCACAAACCCTACTCAGGGTGGAGTCACGGGGTCACAGAGTCCGGCCCAGACGTGGTACCTGCACGTCCCTGCGAGTGGCCTCCATCTGCCTTACGGACTCCTCCACCTCCCTCCTCTTCTCCTCCACCACCCGCGTCTCCTCTCCCACTTGTTTCTGTGAGAGACGTCACCAGGGGAGACTCACTCACTCTCCGATCGTCCCCTCTCACCCCCACTCCACACAGAACCCTCCACAGTGATGGGGGCAGGCGCCCAGGTGCAGCGATGGAAGCAGGGGGAGCAAGCGCTGCAGGGAACTGATTTCACGAGGAGCTAAAGCGTGCGCAGGGCTTCCTAAGTAGTGGGTAGGGCTGCCTGAGCAGTGAGTGGAACTACCTGAGCAGTGGGCGGAGCTACCTGAGCAGTGGGCGGAGCTACCTGAGTAGTGGGTAGAGCTCCCTGAGCAGTGGGCAGAACTACCTGAGTAGTGGGTGGGGCTACCTGACAGTGGGCAGGGCTACAGGAGAAGTGGTCCGGGCTACCCGAGTAATGAGAGGGAGTTACCCGAGTGGTGGGCGGGGCTAGCTGAGGAGTTGGTGGACAGGGCACCGCATTGGCGAGATGTTATCTGACTTGCCTGCAATACAGGAGGACGTGGCTTCAAACCCGTGCCTGATGCCTGTTAATGCAGTTTGCATGTCTCTCTCCATGGTCGCATGCATCTTTCTCTGCGTCCTCCAGTTTTTCTGTCCACGTTTTGGAAAGTGCGTTTAGAGCATTTGGCTGCTAAACATTTAGACCTGATAAGCCACTTCGTTGCACTGTCATTTGTAGCCAGGTTTGCCTGTGAAAAAGAGCTACATAGCTAAGTGAGCTTCACTTGGTGAAATAAAAAATAGTTTTAGTTTATTTTTACAATACACAAGGAACCGCTGCTATGTGACTGTTGAGCGTCAGAGAAATTCGGTAGAGAGAATATTAATGAAAATATAAATGAAGTCACGAATAACTTGGTCCGTCAACATCAAGCGACATTTATGGAATGCCAAGTCCAGTGACCCGGTATCTGCTGTAGGGTGCGGCGCTAAACTAGGACAGACCGGCACGAGTCTACCAAGCGGTGAGCACTGCGGCTCATGTAGTCCCAGTCGTTTTACATTTCGTTTACATTTGTAATAAAAGACTCCATCAGGCACTGCTGGTCTCCGCTTGTCTTTTATTCAGGTTCTTCTCCGCACCCCACTGGTCTCCTCCACGGACCAGCGTCGTCTCTCGCGCGCCCTGCGCACGTGCTTCTTCCTCAGCTCTTCCACTCGTCCTCACACCCCGCTGGTCCTGACAAGGGACCAGCGTCTCCTCTCGCGTGCCACGCACGCTCCTCTCCCGTGCCCCGCACGCTCCTCTCGCGTGCCACGCACGCTCCTCTCGCGTGTCACACACGCTCCTCTCGCGTGCCCCGCACACTCCTCTGTCAGCTCCTTCTCGCGCGTGCCACGCACGCGCTCTCCCGTTAGTCGCTCCACTCCTCCCCGCTCCGCACACCGCTGGCCGACGGTGTGCCGAAGCCCCATCAGCCACGTGGCTGATGGCACGGCGACCACCCAACGTGGTCCCGCTTATTCACTCCATCAACTGGCCCCGATCTCTTCCGGGCTCCCCCTCTATATCATCTCTCCCACGTGACCCTGACTCTTCCCTTCCGGATCGTCAGATCCGGCCTTCCCATACTGCCCTGCTGGCTCGACCTCCATTCACCTCGCTTCCCATTGGAGCCGAGGTGAACGGCGGCCCCTCTCACACGCCCCCCATACTGGGCTCCGCCCCCAATACCCCGGGTCGTGTGATTGGGCCAGAGTCCAGCAGCAACCCCATTTACGCTCGCATTACATGACCAACCCCCCTGATGAAAAATCCAGCCGTCCCGGCTGCAATAGGATAAAATAATGCGAGCGACGGCATCACAATCAGGAATCACCCCAGACACAACGGAGAGTACAATGACAACACAATTAACGAAAGGGAAGGGATCTGGATCCGGTACGGAACACCGGCCCGTCCTCAGCGCAACAAGCAAGAAAGAATTTAGGAATGGAAAGTAATACACAACAACGGTAACCGACACGCAAGAACGGCCGACGCGCATAAACCAGGAATGCGGTGTCTTAGAGCGTGTCCGTGTTGCTGGTCCATCCGCCTGGCTCAAGTCCAACTTCAGAGAACAACTGGTAGAGCAGGAGTGACGAACAGGCGCTCCACTCCCCCTTCAAGTCCACATCCGGTTAGCACAACCGGTAACACCCAGTGTGGCAGGTGCCGAAGATCTGTGACGAGAAGGAGAACCCAACCCCCTGAGGCACAGCACAACGAAACGCACATCCGCATATCGTACACGACAGCCACCCGGCCCCAGGGTAGTGGAGATGATCTAAATCCGCCCCGCGTAAGGAGAACCGCAATAAATACCCAAAAATCGACGCGATGGATGCCCCAGTATTTACATTTTAACTAAAAATTTGTATTTACACATGACAACAAAAATTTTCCTGCTCTTGACCATCAGCAGTCCTCCCTTGAGGACCAGCACAGACATCTCACGTACACAGCATCTACCCACTGTCACTCTCAACACAGCCCCCAGCCGCACACCCTCACGTGGAGAGAGCCACGCTCCCCAGTGGCAACATTTAACTTGCCTTTGCCCTCACCGTGGTCGTCCAACCACAGCAACGTCGACTGGCCATACACTCGGCCAGTGCACTTTCGGGGACGAGACAATGGCACATCGCAACGACTCTGCCACGCTCCATCCCGTACTATCCCATCACCAATGAACACACCTCAGTATTTTATAGTCTGACGCTTTACAGACAAGGGAAGGTGCATCCCTTGGCAAGGCCAGACCCCATCGACCCCCCCCACGGGGCAATGTTCCCTTATACATTCAATAACGTCATAACCCAGAGCGGAACAAGTCCATGGCCCTTCCCGCTGGAGGACCCGCAAGGGGAATCCCCGCCCCATGCTAGCCAGGTCTCCCCGTTCGCTGCCACGTAACGGAACCTCCTCTCCTGAATTCCGTGAGCCCCCGGCCCACCAGGTTCACAGTCTGCCACCGCACAAGGGAACCCCGACTCCCCGAGCCATATGAGCACACGGCCCATTAGTTTGAGACATACCACGGAGTTTCTCGCCTCCGGGCTGTCAGGTCAGCCATCGGCCATAGGCCGATGTGACCACAACTCGTGCATCAACCACTCAACAATGGTAGGCGTATTCCGGTGAAATATTTGCCCCAGAATAGAACCCAGCCAGTATCTCTGTCCCAAAATGCTGGTGCAATGACACGCCCCCCCCTTAGTCAGACACGGGCCACTCCGCTCCTGTTACCCCAATGGGCGCCAACATGCCAGCATTGCGCACAACACGCAATGCACGCACACAAATTAGAGCGCAACACGAGAGTCAAGGAATGATATCCATAACCGCATCCCCGCGGCTCGACGTGTATACTCAAAATGGCGGCGGTACGCGCGAAGCGCCCCACCGAGGTTTTCCCCGCACGCTCTAAATGGTGGCCCCATGCGCCAAGCGCATCCCCGCGATTTCCCGCATGCGCTCAAAATGGCGGCCCCATGCGCCGAGCGCATCCCCGCGATTTCCCGTGTGCGCACAAAATGGCGGCCCCATGCGCCGAGCGCATCCCCGCGATTTCCCGCGCTAGCCAAAATGGCGGCCCAACGTGCGACCACGTCGGCAGTTTTCCCCGTGTGTGCACCCCAGCTGCCCCTTGCTGGGGGTCACAACACACATCCCCTATCACGTTTTAACAACCCCCAACAATACGACGCATAGCCGCAACTCGCTGCGCACAGCAGTCATATCGGGGGAATTTTTAACCCATAGTTGACCAAGACACATTGCTCATACACACCAACTCGCAATGCAACCCCTGGCCGCATGCAATCAACGGAAAGAGCGACGCCACTTGGCGACAATTTACGGCCCCATCACCCTTGATGGCAGAGCCACCAACAACGCCTTCATCCCTCAACACTCGCAATTTCCTATGAACACACATGCAATCTCGTGTGCACGAACACCCATAGAACCAAATTTAAGGGTCCCCCCCGAATTGACCAATTTCCAAACAGGTACGCACAACTAATAACAATCCCGAACCCAATGGTCAAAACAATGCACCGCACTCCGTATCCATACAGAAAGACAGTCTATACAGTATATGCAGTCAGCATATCGCGATTACAAGCAGAAAAGTTCCACACAGGTCGTACATTATGCACAATCGCAAGCAGAGCTGCAGGCAGATAACACACCGTTAACCCTGTCGCACCGTGCAGCAAAAAATCATCATCAAAATAACCACGTAGCACACAGCAACCCACGGGATGGTAACAGCGCGGGACACTCGACGCAACCGAATTAATAATTAACCTCGCCATCAAGATAACATCTCCATGCCGCAACGCATAACACTATTTGACACAGAGCAAACACAAGCAGACAGCCCGTCCATCCTCACACACACACACACCCCGACCCGCTCTCCGCACGCTCGAGACATACAAACAATCGCACCCCGGCACAAGCAAGATGGGTGAGGTGTGTGTTTTGGCCGGGTGCATATCGTCACGACTCGCCCGGGGCTGCAGCGAGCAGAGGACGGCAGGGTGGTCACTTGAGACGCCTCGAAGAACTCGGACGGTGAGCGCGGCGTCCTCTTGCGACTGCTCCGGTGTCTCGCACACGAGCCAGGACGGAGGTACTCCCGCCCCGGCAGCAGCAGCGTCGGCGCCCTCTCCTTGCGGCTCCTTCCCGCAAAACAGCTGCTCAGCAGCAGGATGCACACCACACGGCGCCTCCGAGATGGCAGCGCATGGCCGCCTCTTCGCCACGATGTTCAAGATGGCGGCGGCTTTCCACCGCGGCGGCGACAAGATGGCGGCTTCCCGCCGTTTGTCCGCGACCACACCCAAGATGGCGGCGTCCTGCCACGTGTTGGAGAGGGTGGGAAGCGTCGCAGAGGCCCCAATGGCGGACGGCTCGGCCCCACCCGAAGGCTCCCCGCTTGAAGGCCCGCCGCGTGGCCGATCCGGCATCGTCGCTGGCACCACGAGGGTGACTAAATCCAGCAGAACAGCCCACAGCGAATCAAGCTGGACTGCCACGTGTCGCCAGCCGTCCTCGGCGCTCGTCGGCGCAGACGGCCCGGCCGCCCCGACAATATCTTGTACTCCTGTCGTGTCGCTCGCCGCCACTTCGCCCACGCCTTCCATGGTCGGGACCGCCACCGCCGGAGAAAGGTCCTCTTCGTCTTCTGAAGATGGTGCAGGTATATTCTTTCTCTTGAGATGTTTTGACATCTCGTTCCACTTCTGACACCAGTGTAATAAAAGACTCCGTCAGGCACTGCTGGTCTCCGCTTGTCTTTTGTTCAGGTTCTTCTCCGCACCCCACTGGTCTCCTCCACGGACCAGCGTCGTCTCTCGCGCGCCCCGCGCACGCGCTTCCTCCTCAGCTCCTCCACTCGTCCTTCCACCCCGCTGGTCCTGACAAGGGACCAGCGTCTCCTCTTGCGTGCCACGCACGCTCCTCTCGCGTACCCCGCACACTCCTCTCGCGTGCCACGCACGCTCCTCTCGCGTGCCCCGCACGCTCCTCTCGTGTGCCCCGCACGCTCCTCTCGCGTGTCACGCACGCTCCTCTCGCGTGCCCCGCACGCTCCTCTCGCGTGCCCCGCACGCTCCTCTGTCAGCTCCTTCTCGCGCGCGCCCCGCACGTGCTCTCCCGTTAGTCGCTCCGCTCCTCCCCGCTCCGCACACCGCTGGCCGACGGTGTGCCGAAGCCCCATCAGCCACGTGGCTGATGGCACAGGGGCCACCCAACGTGGTCCCGCTTCTTCACTCCATCACCTGGCCCCGATCGCTTCCGGGCTCCCTCTCTATATCATCTCTCCGACGTGACCCTGACTCCTCCCTTCCGGATTGTCAGATCCGGCCTTCCCATACTGCCCTGCTGGCTCGACCTCCATTCACCTCGCTTCCCATTGGAGCCGAGGTGAACGGCGGCCCCTCTCACACGCCCCCCATACTGGGCTCCGCCCCCAATACCCCGGGTCGTGTGATTGGGCCAGAGTCCAGCAGCAACCCCATTTACGCTCGCATTACACATTTGGAGAATGCTCCTCTATTCCACAAACCACTTTTTTGTATACAAACCACAGTCTATGTACCCACGAAATTTAGAGAAAACATTGTATGCATTATAGTCCTTCAGTTTTATAAAATATACTAAGAGCACATTTATAAATTTGTCAGATAACAGGATTGATAATCTTCTTGGTTCTTTCGGTATAGTCACGTAGAAGGAAATAATAAAATAATAAAAATAAAACATAATCCAATAATTCTCACGACGTTTCGGCCACAACGCAAGTATCCGTCCTCAGGTGAAGAAACAGGTCTGTCGAGAAGACAGCGTCTGAATGACACGCCCCAGGCTTGTAGTGTCTATTTAAGCTAGATTGGAGCGGGAAGGTGCGCCTTAACAAAATAATTTGCATAACAATAAGAATTTAGCATATTTATGGGAAATGCAGATATGGGATTAGTACTAATTGTGAAGTGCGTAGGAGGTAGGAAGGGGGTTTAAAGTCATTATGCCCGTGCATCATGCAGGATTAGCAGAATCAAAGGGAGGGGGTAGGAGTAGCATTAATGAAGTGAAGGAATGTTAATAGTATGTAGCTGCAGTAACTCAACCACCACGTAAATAACTAAAGTATAAACTACATAGTATCATCAGTATACTAAATATAATCTCCAATAAGCTGATCTACTAACAGTAAGTAATACATTATAATTCTATGTCGCAAAATTATAATATGCTTTCAGCTAAACTTTATTCTCTTACATCACATTGGTCTACCCCCTGCTATATACTGCCATAGACAAACCCAACATTAAATTACATACTGTATTACTATACACCACCCTATATACCACACTGCTATATATTCACTATAAAATTACGATAGTATATATTACCTTATACATTGTATTAAACATTCCACTTTGATACTATTTATTATTATATAATATGCTATGACAACCTCAGCATACTTTATATTAAATCAAGGTTGTTAAAATTTAAAGAAACAATGGGAAGCTGAAAGAGGAATGATATAATATTTACTTGGATATTATTGTTCATTTTGCACTGGGACATGATGACTTCACACAGGAGAGGCTCCCGGTCACACAGGCAAACCATCTCACCTCCCGTGTCTTGTGCTCATCCTCCAGCGTAGCCACATCGTGACCCTTGTGGTCTCCTGCGAAGGTGCAGGTTGTGCAGACCAAGCTCTCGTCCTGTCGGCAGTAAAACTTTATCCTCTTTCTATGCGGCTTGCATTTGCGGTCCTCAGGATTTGTACCTGGATCCACCAGAATGTGGCTCCTTAACTTCGGGTTCTCCTGATGAGGCTTTACATGAGTCACACAGTAGGACATATCACACCTGAGGCAGGTCTTCGAGGCAGCAGTCGTGCCATCGTTGCAGAAGTCACACAATACCACGGTGGCCATTTCATCTGCGGCACTGCGCTGCTCCACCAGGCTGGCGAGGGTGAAGTCTTTGTTCAACTTGGGCCTCTGAGGGAAAGTCACTCGGCACTGTGGGCAGGAGAAAGACTCGGCCGCATCCCAGGCGCCCTCCACGCACTTGAGGCAGAACGAGTGGCCGCAGCTGAGCGTGCAGGGGCAGCGGAACGCGTCCAGACAGATGGGGCAGGTCAACTCCCCTGGAGCCTCGCTACCACTGGGAGCCGCACTCGCCATGGCCTTGTGGCTCCACTCAGAGATAGGCGCTGGCTGTTGTTCAGTTCGTCGCTGGCTGTAGCTCAGGCAATCGCTGGCTGTCACTCAGGCAGTCTCTGTCTGTTGTTCAGGCAGTTTCGGGCTGTAGCTCAGGCAGTCTCTGGCGACATCTGAGACAATAAACTAGGAACAAGCCACGTAAATGTGAGGCAGGTTAAAGTACAAACTCTTTTAGTTTGATTTGCATATCATGAGGCGCGCCCTGGAATGTGTTGACTTTTGACCATGCAGAGACGTCTCGGTGCCAGAAGTAGCTAAATAAAGACTCAGCTCACCTTATCTCAATTTACCTCATTTCAACTAACCTATTGTCAACTCACCTTGTGTCAACTCATCTCATTCTCAACACACTTCTGTGAAGGTTGGACAATCAATAGCTACCCTCCAATTACACAAACTCACGAGCCCCACCGTCACGCAGAGATGACGTAAGTTTTCCCATAACAAAGTTGAACTCACCTACCAAGCTCCAAATAATCGTGACCCTTAAAGACACGAATATCAGAACAGTTGAGCACCAACAAATGCTGGCGCGTCCTTTCCAGACAGTCCAGAAATTACGTCAGAGTTGCAGTTGAAAAAGTCCCTCCAGCCTAAGTTCCACTCTTCTTAAGTTCAATCTCAAAGAGGTCCACAGGGTTCATGAAGTTTGTCCAAAACATTGGCCACAAATAATGAGCCTGGCTCGGTGAACCGCCAGGGACTTGCCACTCAAAGCAGGTGGCCTCCATAGGCACCGCAGGTGTCCTCAACAGTCTGAAACGAAAATAACTGCTGCAGGGTTGTGGTTGGGTTTCTCACACATTTGAAGAGGAATTGGCTGAACGTCCCAAAACAATATTTGAAAAGTGACTCATTGAGGCTTTACTTGTTGAACGACAATTTACGCAGATTTCCCTTTGCTGAAAGTGACATATACGTTATAAAAAGATGGCGACCTCTAGGGCAGTGGCGTCGCCATCCACTAGTCGAGTGGTGGCTTCAGCGCTGCCTCGGCGAGCCTCGCTGCGTCTATCAACAGCGGTGCTCATCTCAACAACTTATTTTATATTCAGAGCACACCTTTTCTCAATGTGCTTAACATAGTTAAAAAGAAAGGATACATCATACAGTATGGATGGCAGGGACGTGTTAGAGGCTGAGGAATGGGTGACTGCGATAGGGGATACTTAGAGATTACGAAAGGGTAGGGGGAGGGAAGAGGAAGAGTGTGACGGTGGGTAAACAACTCTAGCGTCACTACATGATTACCTCCACCATGGTGACCTACTTTTCAGGCCGATCGGCTCCACAAAGCGGAATAAGCAACGGCATCCATGGACCAGGCTTTTAAGCGATGAAACAAGTTTACTTCTGTGCTTAGGCCAGGTTACAGACAGTAGAGTGAGATGTGTGAAGGCCCACCAAAGCGGCCGCACACCCCCAGAACACACAATTCATCACAGACACACGGGTCTATCTAAACCCACTCACGCCTATGACTCTGCGTAATCCCGATAAACACACACAGTCTCCGTAGTGGTGGTCGTTATGCGTTTCACCATTTCACCCACAGCACCAAAACCAACTCTACTGTCCACATGCACTGTAGACAGTCCACAAACGTCCCTGAATAACTGTACCACATATTCAATGCACGGGACTGGGAAACCAGCACCGTGGTTTTAGACATCAGTCCAAGAGGCCTACAGTAGGATAGATCTTGAGTCCTGCTTTCTCCCTTCTGATCCTCACACCAGGCATTTGGGTATTTGCTTCCGCCCCAGGGGGAGCTGCCCTGCTCGCTCAGCTCACTGCTGCTGGTGCCGTTGCCTCCTCCACTGTTGCCGCTGCTTCTCCCGCTGGTGCTGCTTCTTTTGCTGGTGCTGCTCGAACAGTCAACCCCCTTGTATACGGGAAGGTGCCAATGGGTTTTGGCTACCCGGCCCCTAGCCACATCCAGATAATTTCAGTTTCAAATGGACCAGAAACCCGTCGAGTCAGACTATTGTACCATCATTGATCACCACTGTGAACCACATTAAATTGTATCCGTGACAACAAGATAGGGTAATGGAGAAGAGGTCAGGCTTTACTATAGAGAAAGAAAGAGGGTAATAAGTGAGGTTGCTTCATGTACAGGGTCAGTGTAGAGTCTATGAACAGTGGTGAGTCTTTGGGCAGTGTTGAGTCTTTGGGCAGCATTGAGTCTATGGGCAGTGTTGAGTCTATGGGCAGTGTTGTTCAATGTACAGGGGATCTTTATCCAGTGGAGGGTCCAAAGAGGAATAAGGATCGATAACGGGATTGAGTACAGGGAGAAAGAGGCACAGAGAGACAGGGACTCAAACTACACCATCGTACCCTGTCCTCAACTCATTTACTCACCATCTCACCACCTCATCCATTCACTTCGTCATTCACTCACTCTTCATCTCACTCACTTACCTACCATCTCACTATTTCACCCTCTCGCCATCTCTGTCATTCAATTACCCCTTCATTCACTCATTCACTCACCCACCAAAGTACATATCACTCACCACTATCTCACTCAACCACCTACAATCTCAAGAACTAATTGACCCACTCACTCATTCACGCATTAATTAAATCATGCACACACCCACCATCTCAGTCATTTTCTCACTCATTCTCTCACTCAGGATCTTAGTAACTTATTCACCCACTCACTCATTCACTCACCCACTCACTCACCCACGCACTCACTCAACCACCATATCACTCACTCATGCAAAATCCCACTCGCTCACATATGCATGTCACAAGACGCACCCTGGTAAGTGCCGACGTCTCAGCGCCAGGGGTTGCTGGTCAAAGTCCATCTCAACTAACCTCATGTCAACTCACCTAATCTCAAATAACTTCTTTTAAACTCATCTCATGTCACCTCATTCTCACACACCTCATCTCATCTCAATTTAACTCACTTCATCTCAATTCACCTCATCCCCACCATCTCAACTCACCTCACCCTCACATACCTCACCTTCAAATCACCTCACCCACCCACTCACGCACCTAATAATTCGCTCGTGCTCAATTCACTCACCATCTCACTCTCAACTGGCTAAAGAAATAAACTCCTCGTGGAGCTGCCCATAAACCGTTTCATAACAAAGCGACATTGTAACAAAGCGATGAATTACTACAATGACCACAACCCACCAACAGCTGAAAACACTATCTGCTACACGGTGCACGTTAACGAGCCCATGCATTGACACTTTCATAGTTTCACAGAGAGACCCCCAGACTCACATAGATACCCATAGACTCACCATATAGAGACCCATAGACTCACATTGACACCCATAGACTCACCATACAGAGACCCAGACTCACATAGACACCCATTGACTCATTAGAGTGACCCCATATAATCACCGTGCAGAAACCCATAGACTCACAACACTGAAATCCATAGACTCATCAGAGAGACCCCATAGACTCACCACGCAGAGACCCATAGACTCACGACACAATGAAGTAGGCATCAGCACATATTCCAACAGAACGGGCACGATTCAGGGGACAGAGAACAACAAAAATGAAGTAGTAGGTTTTTACCATTTTAACTGGTACAAAACTGACACCTTTATTCAAGGCATCATGTTTGCAATAACCACAACACAAGTAGTCAAAAAGCAAACAAAAAGAAGCAACTCTGATAATGATAATAATATGCACTGTCCTTGAAGTTGATTGGTCCACACCCGAGACGGCTTTCTTTAGAGCCTAGTCCCCATTGGTGTTGGACCAGATGACACCAGAAGGAGTACAACTCAAACACAGTGCAATATCAGAGTATTGAGAGCTCGGGGTAAGCATTTACACTATGAGATCTCTTTTACCAGTGGAAAAATATAGTAGTAGGTTTTTACCCTTTTAAACTGGTACAAAACTGACACCTTTATTCAAGGCATCATGTTTGCAATAACCACAACACAAGTAGTCAAAAAGCAAACAAAAAGAAGCAACTCTGATAATGATAATAATATGCACTGTCCTTGAAGTTGATTGTTCCACACCCGAGACGGCTTTCTTTAGAGCCTAGTCCCCATTGGTGTTGGACCAGATGACACCAGAAGGCGTACAACTCAAACACAGTGCAATATCAGAGAGAGATCTCATAGTGAGAACAAAAATGAAATTAGGGAAAAAAAACTCGTTTTTCAATGCACACACTTTTATTTGCATTCAAACGTTGAAAATAAATTATTTTGACCCCAGAATTGATTAAATTTGAATCAAGTGGGTGGCTTGCATAAAGAAATTTAAACTGATATCGAAAGTAAACCACTCACTTTTATTCAGTAGATTAATTTGATTTATTCTGGTCTGTTCGCTGATGTTGTTCCCTTTGCTCCACAAGAATGTGAATATTCTTAGGTTTTTTCGGTAAAGTCATATGAATCCTTGCAGTCACGAAAGCTTCAAATCTAGAAAGAATGTGAATCACAGAAATGATATTTGTCACCATTCTGGATCACCGCATAGCATTTGCAGTTTGCTATCAAAATTCCAGCACCATGATGATTGAACAGCTGTTTCAAACCGTTCAGCAACTTGAAGCCAATTTCAGGAATGTTCCGTTTGTCATCCAGATTTATGAAAGTTGATGGAGCATTATCATACACTATTGAGAACGAGTCGTAGAACATGATGAAGTCGATCTGGATGACATCGAAGTTTTTTACGTCCAGGAAGCTGAACTCTGGTATGTTGATGTTGGGCATAGCGACCAGCATTCTAATTATTTAGTACAAATTGTTGCCTTCAATCAGCACTTGGTAGTAGATGTTATTGCTCCATATCGATGATGGAAACAAGCGGGACTCAACAATTGATGACAGTTCCATGGCACTTCATTGTGTTCCAGCTGAGGAATTATTCAAGAAACCAGCATTAGCTTGGTTCCATGAAGTACGAATCAGTCGAGAATGATCATTGATCCTGAAGTAAGCATCGAGTTCAAACAGTTCTTCTTGTTCCGCTCTCTCTTGTCGCACAATTGCGTTTTGCTGCAGATTGGTATCATCGGTAATGTGCTGTACATTTCTGTAGAGTGGATT